ACCAGGGCCTTGGGACTTCCTGAATCTCCTTCCAGGCTCAGGACCTTTTGAAGGCAACCTCAAAGTCCTTTTTGGTTTCCTCTGGCCTAGCCCAGCAGCAGCTGATGCAGAGTAGATGCTCAGCAGCTGTTCATATGGGTGAGGGATTCAACGTGGCAGCTGGTGGCTCCCTGCCCCCAGGCCTGCCTGCCCATCTCCACCAGCTGTGGTTGGAAGGATTGTGCTGTAGCCTGCCTGACTTACTTTAGGAGCACCGGCTGTTTCCAGCTGCTGTCTCCCTCCAGCTGTCTACCACGAGCTGGGGGACAGCTGTTGGCTGGGTTAGTTGTTCCTGGCCATCTGTTCCCAGTTGTGTCCTGGAGGGCTCACAAGAGAAAGTGCAGGGAGAGCTCATGGAACTGTGAGCCTTCCCACCGTGAACCCAGTCACCCCCATCTCATCCCACAGGCACCACATCCCCTCTGCCCTCAAGCTTGCTGTCTGTCCAGTGAACATTAAACCATCTACTGTGAGGCCTGACAACCACAGGGCCTCCTTGGGTTCGAGGCACAGGCCTGCTGCATGATTTGCAGGTGAGGTTTGGCCCACCTGCAGTCTAGCCCAGATACTACAGGTATCTGGTATGTTTCCACAACATGCCAGCCTTGGGTTTTTTCCTTCCTCCCTGCCATGGCTGCACCAACCTTAGCTCTTCTTTCCTTTCACACTCATGTCTCTGCTACTGTGACCACAGGGTGGGTCCCACTCCAGGTTCACCTTTGTATCTCCAGCCCTCTTTCGCTGTGTTACACCCAACCTCTTGTCCATTCTCCATGGCAAGTCTGGGTGTGGTAGGTGTCATTATTCTTCCTTTTCTGAGGGGCCTGCAGAGGTTTCATCACTCACCTTACATGTTTATATAGCCAGACTGTGACTGTGATGTGGGTTTCATGCCTCAAGTCCAGAGCCAGTACCTTCCCCATATGTATCCTTTTTCAGGGTCTGGTCAGAGAAGCAGGACCACAGAGTTCCAGCTCTGTACTGTGGTCATCTTCCCCATGATCTCAAGGGTTTGGGCTTAAGTTGAGTATCTTGCTTGAACAAGAGCTGAACAACGTCAGAGGAGAGTTCCTAGCCATGGGGTGCCCTTTCCCTGTACCTGTCTCATCAGTCTACACATTGGTTGTGTTGTCCTCCAAAGGCTCATTAAAGCTCTATGCTGACCACTGCACCTACCCTGATTGCTAGCTGCACCCCCAACTCTGCTTCCTCCACCTTGCCCAGAGAGCCTGCCCAGTTTACGTGTTCCCTCCCTCTGGTACCTGTGCACCTGGCTGAATTTAGCACTGACATCTTTTGCCACCTGGCAATGTGGACTTGCTCTTAGTTGGCACCTTCCCATGCCCAACCATATGCCCCTCTAGCACATGGTACTTGTTCTGTGAACACCTCTCAGTTTCTTGGATCTGCCTTGTTCAAAGATCCTTAATTATATCCAGCCTTCTGTCCTGGACCTCTAGCTGCCTGCTCTTCCTCTCTTCTCCCTACCCTTCTCTTCACAGTGCCAGGATCCTTGGCAGGAACCATGTGGTGTGCTGGCTTCTGCGAGATAGGTACCCTTCCTGCCGCCTCCACCACGTTGCTAGCACAGCCCACAAGCCAAGTTGCACACACCATAAATGTCATGGTTGCAGCTGTCCCAGAAGGGAAGAGCCTGAGGCATGAGGTCATGGGGTTCACCCGTCTGCCAGGCAGGATCTTGAGCACCCTGTGTGGGTGGCGTCCCCTGAACCTCCTGGAAAGTGCCCAATAAAAGGCCCTTGGTGTGAGGGAGGCAGAGCTCCAGGAGCAGTCGGGGGGATGGCTCTGCAAGGCCAGCAGCCCCAGGATGGAGGGGACCGCATGGAGGTGGCCTGGGAGGGATAGCTGCTGCTGCTGCTGCTGCTACCCTGGGGATACCAGCTGGCTCGGCCCAGCAGGCCGATGGGATGATGCCACTGTAGCCTGATGTTTATTCAGGCGGCTGACAGGCTTTGCTGTTCCCATGAGGGGAATAAACTATTCTGTTCCTTTGGGTTCTCAGAGCCAAGCCTGTCTCAAACCCTCCTCTGTGGAAACCCAGAATAATGGCTCCTCACTGAAACCAGAAAGAGGATTGGAGATTGTAAATCAATGAGCAGGGACTGCCTAGGGCCTAGAGGGTAGGAGCTGCATCTGTGAGCTGCTCCCGGCTGGCCTCACAGTGAGCACCTTTCACCCAGGGCCCACGCTGACTGTTTCAAGGTATTCAGGAACTGGGGGAAACCTTTCCCATGATAAAGACTTGCAGGCCCAGCCATCCTGCCCACCAGAGTTACCAGCACTCTGGTGGAATCCTGGACCCATCGCTGGGCAGCACGTGGGGATGTACCTCAGTCCCCTCCTCAGAGTAACCTCCAGCGCACTGAGGAGTTGGTACAAGCCTCTGTCAGGTCACCCAGCACTTTTCACCAGTTGGTATTTTCTTGCTTATTTGTCTGTCACTTACTTCCTCTCATGGAGGTGATTCCACTAGGGCAAGGGTGCTCCCTGGTCTTGCTCCCTAAGGTGCTCACGGGCCTTGATATAGCACTGAACACCTTAATGCAGTCACAGAGAAGCAGTGCATTGAGTCTGCAGGGCCTTGTTACCTGTCTTCTTGAGAGAGCTACCACCAGGGGCACATCCATGGCACTGCTCTCAGCAGCAGTTGATAGAAGTGATGAACCCCACTAAGAGACCAGGAACTTCTCCACTCAGTCCCAGGAAGCCCTTGGCCTGCATAAAACAGCCTCTTTCCCACCCTCTGCTCTCCTTTTCAGCAGCTGTCCCCAGGCATCCTCCTTTTAAGACAGTGCTTCTCAGACTCTCATGTGTACACTGCACACCCAAGGTCTTACTGAAATACAGGTTCCAGTTCAGCAGGGCAGAATCTGCATTTCCTTACAACAAGCTCCTGCCTGATGCCCATGCTGCTGGTCTTTTGGCCACATTAGAGCAGTGAAGACTAGTGGGAGTTCAACATTTCTGTGCTTTTCTGCATATGCAAACCCTCTTGTATATTCTGAAACCAACTGTACAAGTGTTCCCTGGCTTTTTTGATGTGCTTGGGGCCAGGACCTTCTCTCAGTGACCCAGCAAGTGAGTTTAGAAGCAAGATCAGAAGACTAGGTGCTGATTCAGCTCTGCTACTTTTAAAATGATGTTCAGCAAATTGCATCCTTATACCAGGCCTTGGTGTCCTCTCTGTGAAATGAAAGGTTGGGATTGAGTTCTGGGGTTCATTCCAGCTTTGACATTATGAAAAACAACCATTTAGTATGTTCTGTATATCCATATGTATTAATTCATTTCATCCTCATGACATCCCATAGGGAAAGTGCTAGTTCTGTCCCCATTTTATAGATGAGAGACTGACGCAGAGGAAGTTTAACTATTTGCCCAGATCACAGGTCTAAAAGTAGCAGCATCAAAGAATGAACCTGATGGTCTCCTCAGAAATCTGCTTGCAGGGACACTTGACTGCCCCAATAACCCCTATCCGGAATGACTGCACACACAGCAAGACCACTCACTCTGGGTTTTGTCTATACAAGACCTCTTTATCATGGGCTCTGGCTCCCACAGTTAATTCTGTGCCATTTAGAGCATCTGTCTGGCTTGGCCTAAGCACAGAACACGGCGAGCCCTTCCAGGGTTCAAAATCTGGTGTGCAATGAAGAGCCCTAAGATCGGCATGGCAGATGGTTCTGGAGCCTGGTTAGCTTAATAAGCATGCTCCTTCTGGGCTTCTCGAGAAACACCCCTCTCCTGTGGGAGCCACTGGAGTCGCAGTGTCTGGGTGTCACAGTCTGTCTAGTTATGTAGACATCCGAGCCCCCAAGACATCCCTCTAGGACACTAGTAGCATCCTACCAGGCTGCCCGGCTGTGCCTGGCAATGTCCAAGCTTTTGCACTTCCTAGGTCTGTCTGTTAAAGAAGAATGGAAAGCAGGGTCCAAAGATGCCCGGAAACCTTAAGATTGAGCCAGAGTTGGCTAATGTTAGAACTCAATGTAGTCAAATTTCTCTAAAAATAACTGCATGAGAAAGGGGTTCTCAGAGCCGGCTGACAGCTTTCCTATGACTCAGATCCTCTCTGTATCCACCTCCAGCACATGTTCACCCTGCTCCGAACTCGCTGAACCTCACATTCGGCACTCACAGATCTTCTGTGGCTGGTCTCTCCCCAGTCACAGTTACTATCTCCCCAAACTCACCCACCCTCAGGACAAGAACCCCAGGAGCAAGGAGCCTTTCTCTACCACACTGCACCTCAGCCACTCAGGCACTTGCCAGTGTGGACTGACTGAAATGCAGCTTTGGCTCTTTCTGGTATGAACCTGGTCTGGAACCTGGCAAATGTGCCAACTAGGGGTCATTAAAGGAAACTTTTTTCATGGGTAAATAGGAAAGTGTGAAGCCAGCCTGTCAATTTTCTATGTAAATGATGCTAAAGTGTGGGGAGGATAATATGTTCTCATTTAAAAAAAAAAAGCAAACTAAGTATAGATGTTTTTGGCCACCTCATCTAAAATTGCTTAGACAAAAACCTCTTATTCATTGAGTGACTGATTCACATGTGCAAGTGAATGGAGTCTTTGGTAATAATTTTCATCATTGGGTAAGAGCAGACTGTACACAGATGACGAAAAGAGAACCCATGTCCTGCTCATGGCAGTCATTATTAGGAAAGCTGTGACAGTGTGGGCTCCATTTTAACAGCTGGACATTCTGGAACTAGACTTTTTTGGAAATGCTGCCTGGGTGCTTTGTTCCCAGCATAAGCTAGATGGGTACTCTTGGACCCCAGTCTCTTGGGGCCAGTGTCTCAGCCTGTCTGTGGCTCCAAGCTAAGAGCAGTCCCCATGTCTGTGTGTCTCCTTGCTCCATGGCTGCCAGCTGCCTCTGGCTCTCCTGCTTATCTTCAAAGCATTTTAATGGCTCCTCTTTTCTCTTCTCAGGAAGTTTCTAAAAACCTCACCAAGGAAAATGAGCAAATCAAGGAGGACATGGAAGAAATTCGAACTGAAATGCATAAGCGAGGCAAAGAGAACTGCTCTGATAACATCCTAGATAGCATGCCAGACATTCGCTCAGCTCTGCAGAGGGATGCAGCAGCAGCCTACGCCCACCCAGAGGTACAGTCCCATCCCCCAAGAGCGGCTCATCAGCCCAGACAGTGTGAAATCAGCATCTCTCATTTGCATAGAGCTTTTCAGGGTTCAATCCTTGCCTGGTCATGGTCTCACTTCATCTGCATAATAGATTCGTAGGTATGGTGGGCAGGGTTGACCTCATTTTGCTCAGCATTGAAGCCCAGAGAGGTCAATAAGTATTGAAGCCAGGACTCAAATCTGGATCCTCTGAGTCCTATCCCCATTCTTGTCATGATAGCTCATGCTGCCTTCACAAGCAGCCCTTGCACGTACACTTAAGGAGACGTCCAGGTGCACTCCTGCTAGCATCGTCACCATCATTATTAAATATATTATTTGGAAGAACTGGGGTTTGAACTCAAGGCCTCACACTTGCTGGGCAGGTGCTCTACCACTTGAGCCATACCCCCAGCCCTTTTTTGCTTTAGTTATTTTTTGAATAGGGTCTTGCATTTTTGCCTGGGCCAGGCTCAGACCACCATCCTCCTACCTATGCCCCCTGGGTAGCTGAGATGACAAGCACCCATCACCACACCCAGATTACTGGCTGAAATAGGGTCTCACTTTTTGCTTGGACTGGCCTCAACCCATGATCCTCCCAGTCTACCTCCTGAGGGAGGCTTGCATCCCTGGCATCATTTTTAATAGTATCCTCTTTTACACTCAGAAATGTCCCAGCTTGGAAGCAATAAATGATATGGTCCCCCTATTTATAAGGGACTTGTCATTTACTACATGCTTTCCTCACTTCACTGCAGCTCTGGAAAGCAGGCAAAACAGAGGCCAGTACCCCCATTTTACAGATGAAGACACAGGTTCAGCCATGTTCAAGGTCTCCCTGGCTCAGTTGGGAAGTGGTGGCAGAGGGTCTTAAACCTCTGTCTCTTCCCACTCTCCTGTGTCCCTAGCATGAAGCTAGCTACTCTTGCATGAAAATAGAAACTGTCTAGTGTAATTTAAGTGAAGCCAAAAGACCCACCTGCTTAAAAATGCCTTCCCATTTGGTGTCCATTTGGCTCCAGTTACTACTACATTCTGTTTGTGTGCTAGTGGTTAAACGTGTTACCATGGAACACACTGGGTTATCTACTAAGTTGATGGCCAAGAAACAGGCCTTAATTCGGAAGAAAGCCTAAGAGCATGGAAGGGGAAACAGGTACCTTTTGGTGGCAGGACTGTAGTGCTATTAACAAGTCAGCTCTGAATAAAGTACTGTAAAAGGGATCCCTGGGAAAACGGGGGACAGCAGCATTTCAGAGAGGCTTTGCTTACTATAACTGCTTACCAAGGGTCAGTGGTAGATGGAGACATTTGGCACCCTGGTGTCTCAGGGATGGGTTCCAGGTGTGTCACTGAGGGATCCCCTAACCCTCAGGTAGTTGCTCTGGGTGAGGGTTGAGCAGGGCCTGCATCAGTTATAGCTCCTCTGTGTGCTGTGATGTAAAACAGGTTGGAAAGTGTGTTACTCAGCTTTCTGTTAATGTAAGAAAATACTTGAGATAATCAACTAAAAAAAGAGGAAAGGTTTTTCTGGCTTACAGTTTCAGAGGTTGTAATCCATGGTTGGTTGGCCACATTGCTCTTGGTGGAAAGTACGTAGTGGAGCAAAGTCAGTCACCTCCTGGTGGCAGAGAAACAAAAGAGCAGGAGAAAAGGCTAGGATCCCCATATCTCCTCCAAGGGCACACCCCCAATGGGCTCACTTCCTCCCACTAGACTTCCACTTCTTAAAGGTTGTACCACCTCCCCATGATGCCATGGGCTGAGGACAAAGCCTTCAATATGTGCCTATGGGGACCTTTATTGTCCAGCTATAACAGAAGCATTGCTTTATGTGACTCTGTCGCCTGGGTCTCTATGAATTATGGTAGAGAGGAAGGAAGGCTGGGTATGTGTGGCTCAGAACTTTTGGGTAGAGAAATTCATCACAGCAGGAAAATGCGGTAGGTTTGGGGACTCTTGGGCACATGTGCTCTGAAGCCAGGACAGCAGACACACTGGAACTTTAAGGCAAACAAGCCCTGGAAAAGTATGGTGTCTGTGCTTCCTCAATCCATAACTCAAAATAAAACAATTCCAAACCATAAGGTAGATATAATGAAGGCCAATGATTTTCTGACTTTGCCTGTGATGACTGCTCTAATTTTTTTTTGAAATATCATATTGCTTCAGAAATTATTTTTATTCTCATTTTTGGGTGTCCCCAACATGCTGGTTCCTGAGCATGTGTTTCATCTGCTTGGTAGGTCACCCTGCGTATGTCTGAACTTATATGCGAAAGCCAGAGGATTTCGGGGCTGGAAGAGGCCCTGGAGGCACCCATTTATCACACCTGGAGCCCAGTATCTCTTATCTTAGCGCATCTGGCATCCTCAGCCACCAGGTGCCCTGTGGAGCAGCTGTTCCTGGCCCTCTCTGGCTTCTAGTTTCCCCATCAGCTACGCTGGAGAATTTCTAGTTGTCTGATGACACATTATGTGGTATGTTCAGAAACCTAGCTCAGATTCCCTGAGGGCAAACAGCAAACCAAATCAAACACACCAAATTCCTTTTCTCCTTGCTCAGCAGTCCTTGCCTATCCCCAAATTTCTGTTCCACACTCTGCTGAGGCTAGCACAATCCACCCAGGCAGGCGAGCAGGTAGAGAAGGAAGAAGTGAAGGAGGCCCACAGGTAGGCTCTTCCTCTCCCTTCGTATCCCTTGGGCTCCTTGGTGAGCCCACACTGCCAACGGGGTGGATACATGGTTGTTTATTTTCAGGGTTCTTGCAAATGATGTCAAGGGTTTCTGGAATGGTGAGTTGTAATTTGTAGAAGATCTCTCTCCAACATGGCCCTTGCCTGGAGGGTTGGCAGGGAGATGGGGGCTGGCTTAGGAGTGGAGAAGTCAGGGTAGGAGTGGGAACAGTGGACGCCAGGAACTGAAGTCATGCAACAGACTCTTGGATGAACAGAGAGAGGAAATCAAAGCTTGGTGGGGGCAGCTGCCTCCCAGTGCAGCCTGTCGCCAGCAAATTCAAGGAAATTATATGTTCTTTGGTGATGGTTGTCCATGGTCTTGCTCCATATCCTTGGTTGGGACAAAGAACTGCAGTGCCCACCCTTCCCTGAGAAGCTGGAACAAAAGACAGTTCCTGGGGTTTGCCATGAAGAAATGACAACTTGCTTTTGCAATGCAGAGAGAAACCAGGGTCCAGCAATTAGATGCCCCACTGCGTCTGAGTCAAGGGCTGTGGCTGGAGACTTGTCAGCCTCCCAGGCAGCTCCTTCCACTGGGAAATGAGGGCTCTCCCAAGGCTGCTGGGCAGAAGCCAGACCATGGTCCCGAGGATGAGAGTTTTGGATGCAAGCAAGTGGTCCTGTGGTCATGGCTGTGGTTGAGTGTGGCTTAATGTAAGGAAGAGGACAGGTCCTGAAGGCGGCAGCAGCCCTGGCCTACTTGATGGTTGTGTGACTTTAATTAGTGCCCCTCTCAGCCACCAGGTTGATTGACTTTCAGCTAAATTGCTAAATGACTCTAAGCCTGTTTCCTCATGTGTAAAACATGGATAACAATATTACCTTGCTTCATTGTTGTAAGGGTTCAGAATAATGTAAAGAGGCATGACCATAATAGGTGCTTAGTAAAATACCATCATCAACAGCCCCTACCCCTGTGGTAGAGGTCACCTCACTGTGAGAATGGGGAACAGGGGCAGGTAGCTGGAGTGGAGGGTAGGAGAGAGGAAAAGAAGGAAGGAGGAAAGAAAGGAAAGGAAAGGGAAAGGGAAAGAAAGAAAAGGAGGAAGGAGAGAAAGAAAGAAAGATGGGCATGTTGACTGTTTCTCCTGGGTACCTCTTTGGTCCCAGCCAGGTCCCATAGAAGGGGGAGGCTGGCAAAAAGGTGTCTCCCTCCTTCCAAGGGTCTGTTGCCATGTTGTGCTGAAGACCTACAGGTTTAGGAACTGCCATATCTGTTGCATCATCTGGATAAACTCTTGTCACAGGAAAACAAGTACAGACGTGGGGTGTGATTGGGAATGAGGACTCTGAGTTTTCTTCAAGCTGAATTTGAAAGGTCAGAATAAGAGCCTGGTTTGCTTCCTCTGTGCAAAGTGGGGAAGTTGGCCATGATGCCAGGGTTCCAGCTACACTGTGGAGTGGCTGAGGTCCCACCACTCTGCCTCAGGGCCCTGGGCATCTGGGGACAGAGGTCTTGTTTCTGCGTGGTTTTATCTTTGGGGTGGATTCTTTTCTTCCTTCCTTCCTTCCTTTCTTCCCTCCTTTCTTCCTTCCTTCCTTCCTTCCTTCCTTCCTCCCTCCCTCCCTCCCTCCCTCTCTTTCTCTTTTCTTCAGTACTTGGGTTTGAACTCAGAGCCTCAAGTGGTAGGCAGGTGCTCTACCACTTAAGCCATGCCCCAGGATTTTTGGGAACTTACCAACCTCCTCCTGTGAGAAGGGGCTGCTCAAGTCCAGCCATCTTACTCACATCTCAAGGCAGAGAAGTGAAGAAGGGAGCAAAAGATGCCTCCCGGCTTAGTCAACCCCTCTGTTGGAAAATTTTTTTCAAAAGCTTCTCCAACCCACTTCTACCTATACCCACCTAGCCAGAATTCAGCCCCATGGCAACGCCCATAAAACCAAGTGTCTGTTAGTAAGGAACAGGGGGCAGGAGTTTGGGATGGTCAATTAGAAGTCTTTGCCACAGATGAATGAGGGTTAGGAGGAAAGACTACTTCTGAATGATAAGGCCTGGGTGTATTTCCTTGGGGACCTGAAATTTTAGCTGGGCCTTGAGAAATAGGTAGATTTCAGTGATTATATGGGTGTGGGGGTGAGGGGAAGTAATGACTTTTCAGACAGGAAAGTCCCAGCAGCTCGGGAATCAAGAGGTCAGGGAGTCAGTCACCTGACTGAAGTACCTGGAGGCACTGAGTTAGGGGAGGCAGAAAAAGTCTGTTGAACTGGGTCACGGCCAGTTCTGAAGACTTCATTCTGTATGCAGGTGGGAGTGGATGGTACCATGCATCTTAGGAAGCACATTCCCATAGAACCCCAGCATCTTGGCCCTCCGGCTTCATGGACCAGCCTGGCACCCTTCCCCTCATATTGATCTCTCTGGAAACAACTTAGAGCTGAGTTGCGCAGCATCCCTGGGCCAGAGCTGAGAGCACAGCTGCATTGTCTGGGCAGAGGAGCATCAAGGTCAGAGCCACCAACTCTGGACCAGGCTACCTGGGTTCAGATCCTACCTCTACCACTTACCTGTAGTGGGTCATTAGGCATTGCACAGGACCTCTCTTTGCCTCCTTTCTTAATTTGCAAATGAGCATGATAAAAATGGGTCTTTACTCCTAAGACTGATGCAGAGTTAATCAGCTGACATATTTAAGCACGTGTGAAGCACTCAGAACAGGCTGGCTCTTAGGGAGTGTTGCTGTTATTAGTGTGGCCTTGGCTCCAGCATCAGCCCAGCCTGACCACTCTCTCTCTGACCACTCTCTCTCTGACCTGACCTTCCCTTGTGTCCCTTCTGAGGAGCAGTATGAAGAGCGTTTTCTGCGGGAAGAAACCGTGTCCCAGCAGATCAACTCCATCAAGCTCCTGCAGACACAGCCCCTGGCCCCACCCGAGGTGATGAAGCCGCAGCGGCCCCTGCAGAGGCAGGTCCACCTGAGGGGCCGGCCAGCCTCCAAGCCCACCGTCATCCGGGGCATCACCTATTATAAAGCTAAGGTCTCTGAGGAAGAGAATGACATCGAAGAGCAGCGTGAGTTTGGGTTGGTAAGGCTGTCCAGAGGCAGAGCAGGGAGGGAGTCTCCATCTGAACCACCTGGAGATGGACTTTCCAGGAGACGCACCCCCTATCCACGGCCCGATTATTGCTGAGGGTTCCCTGACACTTGCTGAGTGGCCTTGCGGAAGTTAGTTAACTCCTCTAAACTTGCAGAAGACCACACAGCCAAGCAGGGCTGAGCTGGAAGGAACTTCAGTTACCTCTTGTGCATTCATCGCTGTTTATAGATGAGGAAACCGAGGCATGGTAGCCTCTGCCACCCCTTCCTCTCCAGGGCCCTGAATTTACTGTCTAGGCCTCTAGAACCTCCCCCTTTGGCTTCCACAGGAAATACATTGTCTCTTTCCCCATCATTTTTGTTTCCTTAACATCTCCTCTTCCTGTGCCCCTCCTTGCCACCTACTACTCCTGTCTTTTCTTTTCCTTGCCAAGAGCCCTCAGAAGGCCCTACCCTCCTCTCCCCAAGATAGCTCCTTCCCCCAAGCCGTTCTAATGGAACAGCTTTCCGACTCTCTCCTGCTTCTGCCTTTTCCTCCATCCAGTTTATTCTCAACCCAGTAGCTGGCCTAATTATTTTGCTCATTTTATGGATTGATTATTTTTTTTTATTTTGGCAGCACTGGGATTTGAACTCAGGGCCTCATGCTAACTAAGCAGGCAGTCTTACCACTTGAGCCACTCTGGCAGCCCTCATTTTGCTCATTTTAACTGTGGCTATTGTTATTGATTTATGGGCGTTCTTTACCTATTTTAGATACAAATCCAGGTATGCAAGTATTTTCTCCCTGCTTCTGGCTTGCACTTTCAGTTCCTTAATCGTGTTTTTGATAAGCACATGAAGTTCAATTTACTAATTACCTCTTTGGTGGTTAGAACTCCCTTGTGTCCTCTCTGAGAAATCTTTGCCTTTCCCATATTCCATCTCTACTCAGCCTCCCCCACTTCATTCAGAATAAAATCTGAACTCCAAGCACAGCCCCCAAGCTGTACATGACTGTTCCTGTTTCTCTCTGACTGCACCTCCTATTATTCTTCCCCTCACTCTTAAGCCTCAGTAGTTGCGTTCTGGTCTCAGGGCCTTTGCACTGCTGTTACTTCCTCCTGGAATCCTTTCCTCTCCAGAACTCCTTTGGCCAATTCCTCCAGCTTCTTGTGGACTCATCTTGTCTCTCCATCTCAGTGTTGGTGCACATGCTCCACAGCATTTGTCAAATGAGTGGGTTGGATGACTGAGCTCCTCCCACCCATCAGGGTTCATAGTCCCCGACTGTGCCTCCTTCCTCAGACCCCTGTGTCAGATTACTGGAATACAGCAGGCTGTTTAGAGAGACCATCCAGAAAATGCAGTCCTCCACCTGTGCTCCTTCTCACCTTCTAAAATCCCAGCCCAGCCCCATCTCCAACCAGGCTGCCATGTTGCAGAAAGAAGCCTCTTACAGTCACCTGCCAGTTGCCACCCACACTTGGCCAGGTTTTCCGTCATCCCTCACCACAAATGAACCTGTGTTTGTTTCACAGAAGATGAGCTTTTCAGTGGTGAGAACGGAGTGGATTTGCTGATTGAAGATCAGCTCCTGAGACATAATGACCTGCTGACCAGTGCCACCCGGAGGCCACCAGCCACCCGTCCCAGTGCTGTGGTGACTGCTGACTCCTCAGCACTGCCTCAAGCCTCTGCCTCAGTGCCAAGCCTCCTTGACCCTGCTCTCCACACCTCAGATGGACAGCTGTCATCTGTACTCCACACCACCTTGGCATTTCCAGACACCACAACGGAGGTACTTTCTTCTCAGGTCCCAGCCACCACAGTGGCCCCCACAGCCACCCAGCAACCTCCAGTCTCAGTGACCCCAGCAATGGCTCCTGGAGATGCATTTGTGGAAGCTACACATACAGTCCCAGTCCCTCCCACCACAGTCAGGACAGGCTCACTGGGGACAGATGCAACTCCTGGGCAGGGAACAACCCCTGCCAGTGCTACCCTGAGCCCTGAAGAAGAAGATGATATCCGGAATGTCATAGGTGAGTTCTTCCTACTTGGTCATCTCAGGTAAAGGGTGAAACCAAGAAGTAGGTTGGAAGGAGACAGAGGAGTCAATATGGCTGACGATCTTCATAAAGAAAGGCAAGGCGGGGTGCAGGGGAAGACTGGGGGTGTGGCTTGCATAGCATGTGCGAGGATCTGGGTTCAGTTCCTTCCATTGTAAAAACAAACAAATGAATAAAAACAACAAAAGGCAAATGGAGTTACACCTTTGACCAGCAATTAGTTTTAAACATCTAGGATTTATGTATGGATGTATATGTTTGTTCATTTATTTATTGGCAGCCTTGGGGTTTTTAACTCAGAGCTTCATGCTTGCTACACAAGCAGCAATACCACCTTAACTACATCCCTAACCCTTTCTTGCTTCAGTTACTTTTTTAGATAGGGTCTCATGTTTTTTCCCAGTGCTGGCCTCAGACCACAATCCTCCTACCTATGCCTCCAAGCAGCTGGGATGACAGGTGCACATCACTAAGCCCAACTTATTCGTTGAAATGGGGTCTCAATAACTTTTTGCCCAGGCTGGTCTTGAACCTCTGTCCTCCTGATTTTCACCTCCTGAGTAGCTGGGATTATAGGTGTATACCACCACACCCAGCCTTAGAGTTTATGTATTTAAATTTGCCAAGACAAGAGCTAGAATCTCCTTTCTAAAATATATATAATGTATGGCGCCAAGGTCTCACCTTCATTAGTCAGTTGTATAAATGTTTGTAAAGTAGGCTTGGTAATGCGTATTAAGTTGTCTGGCAATGACCTTTCCTACAGTAAGTTTACCAGGCTATGACACAACAAAGGATTCTCACTGGGAGGAGGTGCCATTCATGGCAGAGAGGACCAAGATAATAACCAGTACCGTGGGCCTTTGTGCAAAATCTCATGAGTCCCAGCACTGGAGAACATTGTAGAGTCATGTGACAGAGGTTATAGCAGTGGAATGGAGAAATACATGAAAGAGTGACCACCATGATGGCCTGGCTGCTAGGAAGAAAAGGATTTTTTTTTAATTTTTATTTTATTCATATGTGCATACACTGTTTGGGTCATTTCTCCCCCCTTCCCCCCATCCCTTCCCTTACCCCCCCTCAGTCCCTTCCTTACCCCCCCTTACCCCTTGCTACCCGGCAGAAACTATTTTGCCTTTATCTCTAATTTTGTTGAAGAGAGAGTATAAGCAATAATAGGAAGGAACAAGGGTTTTTGCTAGTTGATAAGGGATACAGGGAGTTGACTCGCATTGATTTCCTGTGCGTGTGTGTTACCTTCTAAGTTAATTCTTCTTGATCTAACCTTTTCTCTAGTTCCTGGTTCCC